TAAAATTAAGGGACCAAATTAAAGTGGCATTTAACCTATTTAGAATTGTATTGGAGTGTGTTTGGAATTGTAGTTAGAGGTTTTTCCTTTTTAATAACTGTAAAGTATTTTTAAATAGGAGTGTTTTTGGTAATTTTTTTAAATTATAAAAAATTACAACAGATCTATAATGATTTATATATAAAACCAAAAATATTATTTTAAAGTTTTTTGACTAAGTTTTAATAAATAATGCTTAATATTTAATATTTAAAACAATTATAAAATTACGTATTAAAATCTAACCTAATTTAAGTTATTTACACCATAATTTATAATATTTTATTTAAACCCAATCTCTTATTTATTTAAACCCAATCTCTTATTTATTTAACGATTCTATAAAAAAAATTAAAAACTTATTCTTTCCTTATAAATTGCTCAATGCAAAACTCAAAAGAGCAGCCATCATATAAAATCTAAGAAACTTAAATTATTTTTTTAGATAATAAAAAACTTATATTATTAAGAAGTAGTGAATGTTATGTATTTTAGTTTTTATATATTATATAATATTTTTAAAATTTTAATTAATAATTAATAAAATTTACTATATGTCATTTACAATACTCTTAAAAAACAAATAATCAAATATCAAAATAACTTTCGATCATAAATATAACATAATTCTGTACAGTTACAATTACAGTTACAGTACCTTATAGTACACCTTTAAGATACTTGAAAGGAGCTTGAATTACCTTAATCATCCAAATCAAATAATAATAATAATAACATACTTTTTAGTTTTCATCTTTCCTTCTATTATACATAATTTCTCAACTAATGTTTTTAAAAAGATTATATTTCCATTCTGTTCTGATGAACAAACCCAATGTTTGTTGATCAGGTTTTGAAAACTCAAAACTTAACCCAACTACCCAGCTCTATTAACTAAACTGTCTGGTAACTTAATTGATGCAAGAACTAACTTAGACATGGCAAAAGAATAAGTTAGAGTGTTGGCTACTTAATCAGGGTTTTAGGTGAAATGACACCGGGAATGGCGGACTGAAGAACAATTGGAAGAAATGGGAACTTACTCTCCTCTAATGCCACAAGAAAAATGGTACACTCTAAATCTTAGTATAATATGGTAGGTGGCAATAACTATCAATGAAGAATCAAACAAGCAATCACTCATTTGATTTGTACGTTGAAATTGGCGGAGAAACTATATATGACAGTGTCATCAGTGCATCATTTAGAAGAAGAATTAAATCGATGCATGGAAGAAAAACACAAAACTAGAAAATTTGTAAAATCAGTGGATATATATATATATATATGAAAATTACATACTTCATTATGCATTAACGGTTTTCGTTACTTATGCCTTTAAAATTGACAGTTTCTACTATATCAAAAATCAAAAATCAAAACAAAAGAATCCCTGAGGTAGCAGCATGCCTAATACCTGGCGGCTTGAAACACATGCATGGTTCCTCAACCTCTTGCTGTTATAAACTTATAATAATTAAGATATATAGCAAGAGGAAGAACCCTTTTCAAGAGTTTTATGCACGTATTCAGATTACTAAACTTTTCATCATTGGGATTGGAATGCTTATATGAAATGCATATTTACATGGAAAAGGGATTAATTCATTCTTACAATCAATTTTGTATTCAGATATATAAGCCAAGGCCTTAATTAGTCATTACACAACCAGACTAGAACAACTACGTATCCAATAATAACATCAGCTATAAGCATAAACATCAAAATATTGCTTTTTAGAACCCAGAAAATAGACACCACACCACACCACCCATTTTCAGATTCGGTCGGAGCGGCGGAAAGAAGGAGACGGATGCACATCTACTAGGGTTTTATAATTCCCTTGTTTGGGCTTAATCGCACCATATGATTATTTATTAGCCTTATTACTCTATGGACCTGGGCCGCATTAGGTCCTAATTAACTTTTAAGGGCTAATTTTGACCCGTGCCAGAAGCCAATGTTTTACTTTTGCTCACATCTTATAACGTAGGGAGGATACAATTTTTAAAAATCACATAAGAGAAGAAAGAATTTATTTATTTTATTTTATTCTTAAAAAAAAAAAGAAAAGAAAAAAAAAAGAGAGAGGAGCAGCAGAGGAGACCATACCATTTACATTATTAAATCCTAATCACAGTCAAATAGTCGAACAAAAAGTCTCCAAACTTTCTTGCATGTTCAAACTAAGGTTGTTTAGAACTTTCACATTCACAGATTATTCCATCTTGGAAGATACATGATATAACAGTCTTTTATACAAAAGGGATGAAATAGAGGAGAAGTTGAAAGACTACGTCTGTGACTCTCCACCTCCTAACAACCCTGAGAGAGACAAGAAGTGACCAAAGCCAAGAATGAATTGCCTGAGAAACACCACTCTGGGAGTGGGATTCCAGCACTTCATGATGGAAAAGGCTAAATACCTCCAGCATTTCCTGCATATGAGAATGCTACCATTAGTTGTAATCATCCCAAACAAGTGCTATAAGTATATATCCAAGTTGACAGACACCGCACCTGCAAAGCAATGCTGGAGGAGCCACACCATCTAGACGGATTTCCTTTTAGTGTAGTGGGGCTCCACGAGCTGCCCCATTTCCTTGAATAACTTCTCTCTGCTGACCAAAGAATTTGCCCTGCTTGCAATCATTAGATGACGATCGGTATATTGATGACATAGCATGGCCATTAGTGTGGCCATGAGACAAAGTGTGAGCTTTATGCCCATCTTGGATGACTGACTCATTTCCTTCTTGATGATCGCCAGAGGATTTCAAATTTCCAGTCCCATTGGTGCCTAAACGTTCAGATAGAGATAAGTTGGCAGAACCACTAGAAAGGTTTTCATCTGCATTCATGCATTTTTCTGAGGTTGGATTGGCAACATCACTATTAAGTTTCTTTGTATTAAGAAAACGGCCTCCACAACCCCTAGCCCTTTTCATAGCATGTAAATGTCTGGACTCATGAAGATACGGCTGTAAAATGGCAAAAAAAATTCAGATTTAGACAGTCCACTATTATATTTGTTACATGTAACTGTCTTTCACTTCCAGAAAAAGAAATACCTTTCTAACTTTCACAGCTTTTTTGTCAAGCACAGCTTTTGCTCGTATCTCTCTTCGTCTCAAAATACCATGATACTGCTTTGCATTTACATAAACAGGCTCCTCTTCCATTTGAAGAGGCAAAGGCATTCTAGCATGATGCATTCCATATAACTGTTGAGGTACCTGGCCCCAAATACCAAAAGTTATCAGAAAGGTTTTTCTACATCCCAAATCATTTAGTTAGCAACAAACAGTTGATATATTAGTTATCTCACCTAGTTAACAATTAGAAATTCAACCTACACTCCAACTAGTGGAAGAAGAGAACAAAACCTCAAATGAAGGTCCTTTAAAAAAGAAGAAGAAGAAACCTCCCCGAAGATGATTACTTTATGTTCCCCACCCCCAGAAAAAAGGAGAGAGCGAGAGAGGCAAGGATACAAGTAAAACACAAGGGAAAAATGGAAGAAAGTTGGATCCTGAGACATAAAGACTGCTTTTCCATAGAGATATGCACAAGACCTATGAAACCATTAGCAAATTGCTCACCACGTTTTCTTTGCTCTCAACTCTTAAACACAAAGAGATGAGCACAAAGCATTTTAGGTTGTAACAGTAGACACATCATCCTAGTATGATGCACCTCTTTACTGCAAGTTCTGTGCCAAAGTTTTGTTGTATAGATTGATATATGAAGGCCCTTTTCTTATCTCCAAATTTAATGTTTAAAAGGACATACAGATGACATACCATTGTCTGTGATCCATAAGAAGTCAATATCCCACTATACGGCGAATCTGCATATGGATATGTTGTCAAAACCTGAAAAGTTTGTAGAATTTGATTAGATTTTATAGCAGTTAAGTGGAGAATTAATACAAAGTCATTTTGATTTAAAAAACTACAGAAAGCAGCAAAGACTACAATAACGCAAACTTGTATTCCGTATGAGAATGGACTCAAGTGTGACTTCATCCAACCATGCAAGAGTTAATGAAAATGTTGATCTGTACACTCGGAAAATCACAATACAACTCTCCAATTTGTGTGTGTGTGTGAGAGAGAGAAAGAGAGATCTTACAATTGAGTGACCAACCAGTTCCATTTGGGAATTTGGTTCAAGGTGTTCACCCAAAGTAAGGGGTGCTGAGGATGAGACATGCTTTATATGTTCATGCTCTTTTCCATGTCTCCCACCTGTCCAAAAGTTAAAACTGCATGTATAACGTGCACACTTAACTTCCAAAGATTAAGCACACAATTTCCAGCATCAAAGTCAAACTCTCGCCAGAGAGCAAGAGAGAGAGAGAGAGAGTATGCAAATGATTTTTTCTAAGGCAAGAGAACAATTATGTGAGAATGCTAGAGCAATATGATTTGTTATAAAGGAATTACCTGCATTAGATTGCAAATGGGAAGCTCCAGTTGCAACTGCACCATGAGGTTGTTCAACTGAAGTTGATTTTGAAGCAGCTTCACCTAAGGTAGCATTAGTCCCAACTCCACGCCACCAGGGCTCAGAGTAGGCAGTTGACTGCAACACAGTTCGAGCACCACGAACTAACTGCTGATCACCATTTGCAGGTTTTGCTGGCATTATTGTCACCTTATGCTGGAATCAACAGCCAGATCCAAGACCATTAAACCAAACATAGACAAAGAGAGATAATAAACAAAAATAAAATAAAATCCAACAAACAAAAATTCTATCTGAAATTTCTTCGCTTTAAAATAAAAAATCAAGAAGCACTAGAGCATATAAAACAAAACAAAAAAAAAAATGAAATCATCTGCAACATCATTGGTCCAAAGTCTGTAAGAAAAATAAGTGAAACACCAAAAGCTTTGAACGATAAACTAAATTTTAAGCTTGATTTGCAGCTAAATTCAGCTGGAACTGTAAACCCAATAAAAGAAATTTAGAATTAAAAACTCAGAAACAGACATAGCAATAGCCGAATGAGTTAGGAATCTATTGTGGGTACACTGCAATTCACGTCTAAAACCAAGAAATAAGTATAAACCAAAAGTAGCCTCTTTTTTTTTTCCCCCCCTTAGAATTAAACACCCAAAAAGCTAATAACTTTTCTTCTTTTCTTCACTACCTTCCCTATTGATTAATTCCCCACCAACCAAACAGAAAAAGAAAACCAATTAAAACTACTGAATGAAGAGCTAATGATGTAATTTATATTTATGGAAAGCTTCTTGAATCAAAAATTGGAAAAGAAAAGGGAAGACTTACTATAGGGTGCAAAACAACGGATCAAAACCCTAAAGATTGGATTTTGAGAAGGCGAAGGTCATAGAGATTGGTTCATTTTTGCTCCCCCTGTCTCTCTCTCTTTCTGTTTCTCTCTCCCTCTCTCTGCAACCTTAACAGAGACACACACTTTTCATTCTCAATTCTTCTTAAAATTATTTGATGGAGAAAGAGAAATATGTCAAAGGAAATAAATTTTATTTAAAATAAATTATAGTAGCATTGTAGCAGTGACAGAATTTTAAAATTGGCATATAAATAGAATAGAAAATCTTTTTTTTTTTTAAATGGATAAAAACAATTTACGGGTAATTTTAATTATTTTTATTCACGCAATGGTTGTTTTATCTGAGATTGATAGTGACCATTGATCATATTTAGGTGGAAAAGACCAAATCACCCCGTGCTAAATAATATTCCAATTATTACTAGGATAATCTTTTTGCTACTAGTTTCGAGTATTATTTTTACTTTACTCCAACTAAACAGTTAATGATTTAATTAGTAATGAATTTATTTGTAGTTTTATTGATTAAGATTTAATTTTTTAAAATAATTAATGATAAAGAATTTTTTATAAACTTTTTAATATTTATATAAATAATTTACTTTTAACTGAATTAAAAAAAAATAATTTTGAAATACGTATAAACTTATTTAAAGACATTCTAATCACTAGAAAAAATTACTTTAATTTTAGTAGAGGAAAGGGACTATCCAACTGCCTATAGAAGATTAAAAAATATTCACTTTACTTGATTATAAGATGAGTGTAAGAAATGTTGTTATTAACAATGACAATCATATAATTATAACATAATTAGATTCTTCAAAATTAATTATGTGTGGTTTTTGTCTTTAAAATTGCTTATGATTTGGGAAAGAACACAGTGGATGTTGGACTTATTAATTCTTGAAAAGGGTGTCTAACCATCACTTTCTTCCATTGGTTGTGGAGTCTCTTTTTAGCTTTTACCAAATCTATACCATACCATGATTCATGAGCATTTTGGT